CCTTACGCTGTAATATTTGCATAAGTTTACAAATCGTAAATCTTACGCAATACTTCGCATTAAAAATATTCCTGATGAAGCTTAAATATATCTTTAAGAAGGCTAATCACATTAAATAATCATATTATAAGTCTAATTTTATCAGCAAACTGTAGTAGACGTTAAAAAAATATTATCAATTGCAATTAAAAAAATAGATAAAAAGAACTAAAAGCGAAATGTATTTTGATATATTTTTAAAGCATTGATCATCATAGAAATTGACAGAAAATAAGTCATATATTTTGTAAATTATAATAAAAATCACAATTTTTTTCCAAATATGAAAAGAAAATGTGCATTGAACTTTTTTTGGCAGATCAATCTAATATATACGTATAGAATATTACAATAAAAATATATTCAAGTTAATAAACTGTATACTATCAAATTTTCTAGTCAAAGTGATCAGGCGTTCTTAACAGAATATGCATGTGATTTTTATCTATCTTTTAAATTCTATGAATGCATTAAATAATCAGAATTTTAAAATTCTCAGATTTTTTTTTATAATTTATAAATGACTAATATACTAATACTTACTTTTTATATATATTATTTGAAATAACTTAACTAACTTCCTTAATTCATTTTGAAAATATCCATTATCACTAGAATAAATAAGTAGTATTTACCCTGAAGTAGAAGATTTATTAAATAAGACAGTGTATCAAAAGATGAAGTCTATTACTATTTGATATCCTAATTTGAAATATAAATATAATTAAAATGAATTTCATTATTAAATGCTTTAATTATAATACTAAATATATCTAATGTCACCATTTTTTTTATTAAACATTTAATAAAGCTTATTTTCTAATAATAGATCTACAACTTTATTAGTTTTTCCTGAATTAGTTTGACCACTAACTAATAATGTAAAAGATCATTAAGGTATTAAAAAATCTAATTTAGTCTCATATAAGCTTTTTCTATATAATAATTCTTTCTTTTAGTATTCTTTATAGGATTTTTATTTGCAATACAAATTGCATTTCAAATATTTTAAAGTTTTTTAAAATAATTTCAAATGAATATTAAAATAATTTTAGATATCAAAAGTCAGTACAAATATCAAATTTTAAAAATTAATTCAAATATAAATATCTAATATTAAATATTTTTTTTTACATTTTTTTTTTTTTTTGCTTTTTTTATATACTTTTAAACTTTTCAATTAGATAAGCTTTAGCTTTATTTTTTTATATTCTTTTTTATTTATTTTATTTATTTTAAAATAAATAATCAATCATTAAGATCAATCAGAATTATTAATAAAATTTTTAATATTTAAAATCAATTTGATGTCTGAAATGAATTTTGATTTTAATATTTAAAATTGATTTTAATATTTAAATATTTATGTATTTTTAAATATTTAAATTTTATTTATTATTTACAAACTAATATTTAAATATTTTATTTTCAAATGGAAATCCTAATTCTTTTCTTTTAGTATGTTTATTTCTCATTATGATAAATTCATCTACTCTTTAGTTTTATTTTTTAATATAGAAACTATTATAGAACTTATAATTATCAATATTACAAGTTATAAAAAAGTAATATAAAAAATGAAAAGTAGAATTCCGTTTATTTTTGATTAAAACTAATTGCAATTATACAGCATTTTTTAAAAAGAAAATCTTAATATTACTTATTATAAAATTTATAAAACAAATTTTACAAGAATAAATAAAGCTGCATATAATTATAATTAATAAGATAAAAATATTACTATAATATATTTTCATAATAAACATAATATAAAGAAAATTGTTTAGAATTTTGAATGATGAAGAGATAATTTTTGTTATTGATATACTTAAATAATATCAAAATTAATTTTTTATCTAAAATCGTAAAAGATTTAAAATTAATTTTAATCCAGTTTTTAAACTAGTTTTGATTCAGGTTAAATACTCAAATTAACTTAGTTATCAATTGCAACTGATTTAAAATAGAGTCAATTTTTTAAAAATATTTAAAATCAGTTTTAAAAATAAAACTAGTTTTAATCTCTAACTTAATTAATAAATCATAAATATATTTAAAAGTAAAGCCTTCTTTATAATTATTATATAAAATACAAAGGGTTGTCAAAAGTCTTTGAACACTTTTTAGATCAATATGAAACACAAAATTTTAAAGTTTAACCAAAAAAAGTTTAATAATCTTTTTATTTAAGTAAGATTTGCTCTACATTTTGTACTAAACAACTAGTACTTAGTCAGGTCTCCTTTTGCTTCAATTATAGTTCAGATTCATTATAACATACTATTAACCAAATTTTCGATAGTATGTATAGGAATTTTGTAATAAGGTCAATCAAAACGAGACCTCAAATTAGTGGTTCTGGTGTCATTCATTCTTTTTAAAGTGTCAAATACTATTAACAGTTCACACTTAATGGTTGTAGCAATAGTTTGATAACTGTCGCTACATCAACAGTAATAAAATATTATTCTGTGTTATTCTTTTGTTAACTCTTTAGTCATTTTTGTAGTTTTCAAAGGATGAAGTTTATTTGAATTAAAGTCAAAATAAATAAATAAAACACATATTTATTAAGTTTGATTCATGTAAACAAAGTCTGAAATATCATATGACCGCAGTATTATTAAGTTATATGATATTACTGGTATAAAATCATATTTAAAAAATAGTGTTCAGAGACTTTTGGTGATCCTCTATATTAGGAAAAATCTTCACTTATTCTTTAGTTTAACTACCACTCTTTTATTCTTATTTCTAAGTTATTCTTTCAAATTATATATTCAAGCAGAAGGAGTAAATTTGTAAATATTATATAAAATATTGAAAGAAGTCTTTATCTCAAATTATATATTCTTTTTAGTAGAGAAATCAATAAAAAGATCAAAGTAATAAATTTAAACTTACCATATGATAAAAAACCTGTTATTATTAGTAATAAATTTTCTAAAAATTTTGAAAATATCATATAATAAATACATGATAATTTTAGCATCAAAATTAACTTATAAACTAGCATAAAGAAAAAGTAACCTTAACATGCAGTCTTGTAAACTAATATTACTTAATATAATTTTTTTAGTATTTTAAAAAATAGCTAAACTAATGCACAAAAAAGTAATTCTATATTATATCTTTAATATTTTAATAGGTGACCAAACTGGTATAGAAAAGTAACTTGCATAAATATCAGTACCTTCAGTATAAAATCTAATAGGTAAAAAGCTAATAATTTCACTAAACTTAATAATTAAATAATCTAGAAATAAGAAAAAAAGAGTAGTAGTTAGATTAAAGAATAAGTGATAATTAAACTATAAGATAATACTCATAATTAGGTAATGAATAATAGAAAAAGCTTAAAGAAATAATCAAAACATAAAAGAGATAATTAATAAAAAAAAAGTAGGTTGTAAGATAGAATTCAGATTATATGATTATATCTATTAGGTTATAGATTATAAATATTAGATTATAATATGATAATTAAATTATATAGTAATATTATAATATACTTAAAATAGGATACTATTATATGATACAATTATATCATATGGGCTTTTTGCAATAGAAAGAGAGAAAATTATCAAAAAAAATTTTTTTTGCTTTATAAGTTAAATATTATTTTTTTTTAATAAAATAAGTTTAGATTTAGCATTAATTCAAAAAAAATTTTTTTAGTAGTTTCTTTCCTTTCTATTACAAAAAGCCCATATAATGGTATCCTACTTGTTAGTTCTAAAAGTATATAACTATACACGAAAATAGTTTTAGAAACTATTGTTAAATTTAGAATACAAGTGTAATAAAAAGGACTAATTAGTATTGATTTAAATTTGAGCAAGCAAATAGCATATATTAGATCATCTTTGTTAAATATATACTATTTAAACAAAAGTAGGTAGATATTATATTTATTAATTACTCAAAAACTTATATAATAAGAAAAGCCAAATTTTTAATTATTATTAGTTAAACTATATACAAACTAATATTTAGTTAGTCAGCTATTATTCTTAATACACTTTTATTAATACTATATAATATACTTTTAATTAAATTAATTAATGTATTATTATCATTCTTTATTGTTATAAAAAGATATTGATACAAAAGATCATGTGACACACGTGACTAGAAGACATGTTGACTGCATCATATTAAATGACGAAGATGATGAAGATGAGAGAAATAAATTAAACAAAAGTTACGTGAAAAACCTAGAATTGCCAGAAATTTCTTTTATATTATTAATCATTTTATATTATTAATCATTATTAATCATTTATTATGTATAATTAATTAGTATTTTATTTATTTATATTAGCAGATTTAGTATAAATAGGATAGCTTTAGGACTTGATTAAAGGGAACATAACAAAATAATTATAAACATTTAGAATTCAATTAGTTTTATCACCAACAAGATAAATACTAATAACAGTTATATGTTAACAAATATAATTGTATCGAATTCTTTATTCCTTAATAAATCCTCAAAGTTTATTCTAAATATACATTATCATTTGAAGTAATAATCATTTATAAACCCTTTAGAGCTCTCCCTAAAAAGTATTGAATAAAAGTTAAATCCTTTTGTTAATCTTGCGTTAATACTAATTTTCAGTCATTAGTATCATAAGATAACAATTTAGTGTGAGTTGGGTAGAATAAAAACTAATCTGACAAATCAAACATATGCGAAGGACACTTAGACAATTAACAGTAGCTGTAGGATCTATTCTTCTCCAACTCCAGTTGCAAGTTGCTGAGATTCAATTTCAGTATAAATCATTAGAGAACAAAGAAATTATTTCAATCAATCGTCTTAAACGTTTACAAAGCAACATTAACGATCTAAAACATTTTATTGAATTTCATAAGATTAAGGCCATGTGGGACGAATTAGTATTTAGTGATGACTACTTTGACAACGAGTCTCAATAAATCTGAAGGAATCTAGCACTAATCACATTACTGAGAAACAATACCTACTAACTGTCTGACAACACATAGCTGCTCATAAGGAACTTGAGAATCATAAAATCTCATTTATTACCCATTTAGATCAATCCTGCCTACAGTGTCATCCAGACTACGAAACTCAATCAGGAAAATTACCATCTTTCGATAATTTTTGGTTTTTGTGGATTGTATCTAAATATAATGCTATATCATACACTATCTTTACTGTAGCATATTTTATAAGGGCCCAAGAAAGTGAGGCTAGCTTTTTGGAAAGAGATCACTTATTGAAATATTTGTTGAGAAAAATTGTTACTACAATTAAATATAGGGACAACATACTAAAGGAATCCTTTGATAGCATCGTTAATAAATTATATCAAATTTGGGTAAAAACAAAACAGTTTCAATTGTGAGAAATTGAAAGTGTTAGCAGTACCGATTCAATTATAAACAGTAATTGTAGTGATACCTCAGAAAATATGGAAAGAGATCAAAATGATACTATCATAGCACCTTTTCAGGGAAGCAATGAAAGTTCTCCAGGGATGATACTACCAGTAGCAATGTATAGACCGTTATCAGGAACTATCACACCTCAACCACTATCTAATATACCATTGTATGTACAATCACGACAACCATATCTGGGAGATAGAAGGTAATATGACGAAGAAGAAAATGATACATATGCCTTGATTATGAACAAAATATCTTATTTGGATATGTTAATGATGATGATGAAACATTACAGGAAACATCTTTCTTTGACAATGCAAATGAACTAGAGAGAGGAGAAACCCCAAGTAGAATACCTCGAAGAGTTACATTTAATACAAGAAATGATAGGAGATCCCTATCCCCTATTAGGGTAGAAAATGTTCAACAATTAGTAGTCTCAACATTATCCAGTAATCAATCATCAAGGCCATCAAATTTAAGGGTAACATCAGTAGGAAATACAAATAGTGGATTATCATTGGGAAATTCCTACAATTTTTCCCAAGCAACTCAATATAGTCGTATGTTTAACCCCTTGATACCACTTGATCCTCTTCGAAATAGTAACTCATCTACAACCTCTAGTTTTACAACTGCAAATTGGCAACCAGTGAATAACCGATAGCTTGAAAGTAACTCAAATAGCAGAGGAAATAATACAATGGGATATCAAAATGTAACTACTAAAGGAACCCTACAGTCAACAACAGTTGCCCAACCGTATAATATGCGACTACCATCAAACTCCTAGGGAGGTAGTTCTCGATTAACCAGCACAACAACTTCTCAGTCAGTACCTAGCAGTCAACCATCAAATAATATAAACACCTCTCAGCCAATACTTACACCTCAACCAGCTATAGTACCAGTAGGAGGAAACAATGACAATGCCTACCTCCAAGTCATACAAGGGTTAGCAGGATGGCTTCAAGGACAACAAACGAGAGAACAACGATTGGAAGATTTACCAACATTTAGAGGAGGAAATCAGGACCTAGTGGAGTGGTTTGAGGCTTTCGAATGGGCTTGTAAAGCAAACCGCATCAATACCATTCGAATGGTTGAAATAGTTCCCAGTTATTTAACAGGAACAGCATTGACATGTTTCCAATGACAATATGTTACCAACTGGAATAGTAGGATTAATCTCAGTACTTCCTTCGTACTATTATTTGAACAACATTTCTGTAATGCATTTCGACAAAATCAATGGAAGCATCAGCTTAGGTATAGGACAAAGAAACCAGGTGAAACAATTGAGAAATATGCGGCAGTAATAGGAGAATTATGGAAGCGAGTCAACCTACAGTATAAGCGAGCTGAGATGGATAGAGTTGCTAAATTTATTGAAGGGCTGCGACCAGAATTTATGGTACCAGTACAAACAGCAATGCCAACAACAGTAGATCAAGCAATC